CTAACACAACAAACATAAAACAGCTTTACGGGCCTGTGAAACGGTTATCGGAACTTTCGAGACACAGGCCCCTGGCCCTGAAGGGATAATGAAAGTGTTACATCATTCATATAGGGACGCCAAAAAATGGTAGATATACAATTCTTGGTCATTCCGTCTGGTGAAGGTTTGCAGTAAAATCTCTTCCGAAGGAGGCACATAACACTGCTATATCATTCTAAGGGGTGACGGTTTCTAAGAATAGGTGTTAATATCTGAATGGGTGGTTACCATAGGAAAAATTTGCTGCAGTTTTGCTGCTAAAAACTCCTCATCAGTAGGTGCACTGTAAACCAAACAGACTCTTTTTAAGCCGCAATGGACAATTTAGTCCTACAGGCCAAAGTCTGAGCCATTTGAGCACAATTTAAGCCAAAACAGCCCCATCAAAAGCCCATTCGAGCACACGCGGGGATTCATTTCAGCCCTTGGGTCCAAATCAGTCCTAGGTAATTGGACTATGTTGGCCCTGATTAAGGGAGCCATATTAAACCCAGAAAAAGGACTGCATTTAATCACCGAAACGGCCCCTGTATTTTTTCTTTTTGATTTACAGTGTGGGTGTGGATATCAAATAGAGTTTGCATCGGCGCCATCTCAGCGTTATTTATTTATTCATTTCTTTTTTTTTTAGTACACCCGTTTTTTTGCAATGCTTATGTGATTCTCTGAATAAGCATGTGGTCCGCAGGTCAGAAAAATAAAGACAATATATTCGGTTATTCTTGGAAAGCGCGTCGTTTCTGTTGTGGAGGTGACTTCCTGCTTATTGTTTCGACCCTCCACCCCTAGGAGCTGCTCGTATGGTCTCTCCTAATTGGTCGCAGGAGACAATCATTATGACATGTCATTCTTCCAATTCTTTTAGTTTTGTTTGAGGTCAGGGAAACGCATCATGCTTTTCTTTCGAGTAGCTGCTACATGACCTCTTTCTGCAGAAAACTACACTAACAAGATATCTTTAACCACTAACATAGAAGAAAAAGAAAACTTTAAATGATACAACTGAACTACTCGAGACACTCGACCAGAAAAACGCTATTTTTTACTAAACATCGCTTAAAATTACACAACTCAGAGGTTAAACAACTCCCGCCTCCCTCCCCTATTTTCTATGTTGTTCCTCGAAAACTTCAGCATGATCTCTTATTGTAACCAACTTTGAGAAGGGAGAGGAAGGGGTCTGAAAGGCGAGGTATTCAAGTCTTTTTGCAACTGGTTGTAGCAACCATAGGCCTGATGGACTTACGGGAAATTGAAACAACGATCACGTAACAAAGTTCTTGGCACCGCGTTACGTATAAATACAGAAAAATACGAATATTGAAAAAGCTACAAAAAAACTACACAGAATGCGATAACAAAAGTATTTAAGTTAAACGAATTACACACAACATCAAAAACACGAAATTAATAATATAAAAAATTCTATATCATCGTGCCGGGCTCCAAAAATAGACCACACTGTGCCGAAAGTGTACGAGACACGCCCACAAACAAACAGGGGATATTTACATTCCATATTGGGTGCGGCCAGCTTGGATATTTCCAAAGGGGTTAACCCATGGTTTTTAATCGTTGAACATCGAAAACGGGAAAGATTTTTAAATTAAGTGCAGCCATCGAGGATATTTGAAAAGTGGTTAAACCACTGAATTTATTTTTAAGTGTGTAACTTAAGGTCAGAGTGGATTAAATATGAGTGACTTTTGGTGACATTGAGTGTTAAAAACGTACAATATGCGACGACTGTAGCCGTCAATAGCAGGGTGGGCCATCTTGAATATTCACAAAGAGGTTAATCTATGACAGAAACATTTACTTCTGCCTTCTACCTATGGGGAAAACTTTTAATTTTTTCTTTTTTGTGTGTGTGTATTACCAAAATAGATTTTAAAATGACATCTGGTAGTTTGTATAGGGCAATAATGCCCTTATACAGATCTCCCGGTCATATTTCATGTTATACCCAGTGGAATTTCGATATGTAACGAACCTATATATAACGAAGTCCTCGGTATAAACGAACAATATTGTCCGCCTCAGTAATAGTGAAATTTGTGAAAAAGAACCTCGACATAACGAAATCTCGTTAAAAAGAGCATATTTTGCAAGTCCCTTGGCCTTTTGTTATATCGGGGTTCTACTGTGCCTAAAATTGATGTGAATGTTATAAAGTGGAATCCGGAAAACAGCTGGACTCCTGTTGGACAACGGTATCAGCCTTCTTTGTGAGCGTAATTGGGATCGTTAACAACCCCTGAACAAATTAAAGAATATGTGGGTATGATTTTGGACCTGCTTAGGTGAAAATCCATAAATAACAATGACCAAGACCAGCTTTTATGAGTCCGTGAGATTGATCATGAACCCCCCAACCAAACCCTTGTTTTCACTAAAACCGCTGGACGCCAGCCTGTTTGAGGTCATTGTTATCTCAGTTATCTAAGGTCTTCCTAGCCTCCCCGCAGACGTCCTTTGGGGTTCGTTTGTCACGCATTCATTTCTCCCCCACGGAGAAATGAATGCGTGACAACGAACCCCAAAGGACGTCTGCGGGGAGGCTAAGGTCTTCCTGCTTAAGTAGCCAAATACGACCCGGAGGAATAACTAATTTATTCACAAAAAAGGCCACATATTCGTGGCTTTAACAAATCTTATGCTATAAGGTGGTTAATCTGTTCCTACATCAACATCATCAGAGCATTCATCGTCTCCTTTTGTTAGCAGACTATATTACGTAAGGTCCGAGGGCACTGAATTCATTCCGATATAAATAATTACACTATGGGAGTTAAATTTGCATTGAGTCAATACCGATTGCAGAACATTTTAGGGGGAGCCACCCACCGTGTGAGCACAGTCGCGGACAAACACACAAGTGAGGAAAATAACGCAAAGCAAAACTAAGACGTTACTAAACGAACTAAATAGACACGCAACTTAAATAAATATATAATACACGCGCCCAAAATTAAATTGCGCGCGCACACGCACCAAGATACAACTGAAATAAAAATCCAAGTAATAAATAAGCAATGTAAGGATACGATGGTGCAATTTAAGCCTGGATTGCTAATCTCATCTCAAGGTTTTCTTGTCTAAAAATATGCATCTCGATCATACAAAATACTGTTTAGCCTTTACTCCGAGATACAGTAATGATAACACAAAATACTACTCTAAGCAATACATAGGATGATAAAATACAAAAGACAACAAATTTTGATTCTGCATTTGCGTTAATCGGTCTTTCAGGAACCTGGGGCTCGAAAGGTCCGGTAACTTTTCGGTTCTCAAGGCAAATTTTGAAATCAAAACCAGTTGAATAGTAGCACAGTTCCTAGCTCACAAACCAGACGATTTTGGTTTGTTAACTGACAGTTTCATATCGTCATTTTTAAAATTATTGAAGCTTTGATCTTGAATGCTAACACAACAAACATAAAACAGCTTTACGGGCCTGTGAAACGGTTATCGGAACTTTCGAGACACAGGCCCCTGGCCCTGAAGGGATAATGAAAGTGTTACATCATTCATATAGGGACGCCAAAAAATGGTAGATATACAATTCTTGGTCATTCCGTCTGGTGAAGGTTTGCAGTAAAATCTCTTCCGAAGGAGGCACATAACACTGCTATATCATTCTAAGGGGTGACGGTTTCTAAGAATAGGTGTTAATATCTGAATGGGTGGTTACCATAGGAAAAATTTGCTGCAGTTTTGCTGCTAAAAACTCCTCATCAGTAGGTGCACTGTAAACCAAACAGACTCTTTTTAAGCCGCAATGGACAATTTAGTCCTACAGGCCAAAGTCTGAGCCATTTGAGCACAATTTAAGCCAAAACAGCCCCATCAAAAGCCCATTCGAGCACACGCGGGGATTCATTTCAGCCCTTGGGTCCAAATCAGTCCTAGGTAATTGGACTATGTTGGCCCTGATTAAGGGAGCCATATTAAACCCAGAAAAAGGACTGCATTTAATCACCGAAACGGCCCCTGTATTTTTTCTTTTTGATTTACAGTGTGGGTGTGGATATCAAATAGAGTTTGCATCGGCGCCATCTCAGCGTTATTTATTTATTCATTTCTTTTTTTTTTAGTACACCCGTTTTTTTGCAATGCTTATGTGATTCTCTGAATAAGCATGTGGTCCGCAGGTCAGAAAAATAAAGACAATATATTCGGTTATTCTTGGAAAGCGCGTCGTTTCTGTTGTGGAGGTGACTTCCTGCTTATTGTTTCGACCCTCCACCCCTAGGAGCTGCTCGTATGGTCTCTCCTAATTGGTCGCAGGAGACAATCATTATGACATGTCATTCTTCCAATTCTTTTAGTTTTGTTTGAGGTCAGGGAAACGCATCATGCTTTTCTTTCGAGTAGCTGCTACATGACCTCTTTCATCATCTTGAAACTAATAAAAGAATTAACAAAGCAGATTAGTTCTTAGACGCTGAAGTGAACGCACCTTTGAGCAGAACTAAGCTTAACGTTGTCGTAATGTCGTAATGAACCTCTCAATGATCTCGTTTCGTAAAGTTATATTCTATGGCAAGTGGCTTTTGTACTTTTCTTAGAAACAAGGAAGTGGCTTGAAGTCGTTCTTGTGCAACGAACGATTTGTGCTCTTGACTTAAGCAGTGACAACTGAAGTGGAAGAACAGAATATGATGAACACGCTCTCTCCAACATTCTGGCCGCCGCTTACAAGGCGGGTTCTAGTTGGGCAGAAATTAGTGGCAATTCAACAACAACTCGGTAAAGGGGGTTTTGGTGTTGTTCACAAAGTAAAGGACGTGGCAACTTCAAGCGAATATGCGTTAAAAGATGTGGTTTGTAAAAATGAATGGGATATATCGGCTGTAAAGAAGGAAATTCTAACATTAAGTAACATTCCTCATCCAAACGTTATCTCAATCATTGAATAAGGTGACTACGAAGATACTGAAGGCTTACGGCACATGTTAATTTTAACCGAATACTGTCAGGGCGGAAACTTGAACGACCGCCTCCGTGGAGCGAGCAGCGATGAGGTCGTATGCAAGTGGATTCGTCAAATGGCAGAAGTTCTTCACTTCCTGCACTCAAGAAATCTTGTTCACCGCGACTTAAAGCCTGAAAATGTGCTTCTGACCGAGAATGATGATATAAAGATAGGCGATTTTGGGTTAGCCAGAGAATTTATCTCAGTTAAAGAAATACACCTACAAGGCACGGTGACCACCTACGTCACTTACGCAAGAAACTACATGAACACGTGTGCCGGTACTCGACATTGGATGGCTCCTGAAGTTTTTCCCGGTCCGCAAGGTCATGGCCACTACAGTGAGAAGGCGGATGTCTTTTCGCTTGGTATTCTCTTCTTGGCTATATTGGAAAGAGATTTTATTGAGTTAAACGGAAAAAGGTATTATGGTGCGTTTGGGAATGTAGCTGAACGCAAAGTCGGCATCGGGTATGCAATGCATAAACTTGGCCCAGCAGTAGCAGTCAGACTCCAAGCAAGAGGATCTAACACCGTGCGAATGATTGCTCTGGATGCCCTGAAGTTCGAACCAAAAGATCGCCCAAGCGCTGCAGAGATTTGTCATCGAATCACCAGTTTCGTTTCCCACAGTCAATTTTGTCTCTCCATACCCAGTGATGTGTACCCTTCTGTGTACCAACCCTTCCACCCAGCCTCCAGTTCTACGTACCAACCCCCCCACCCAGCCTCCGGTACCATGAACCAACCCTTCCACCCAACCTCCGGTACCATGTACCAAACCCCCCACCCAGCCTCCAGTTTTATGTACCAACCTCCCCATCCAGCCTCCAGTTTTATGTACCAACCCCCCCACCCAGCCTCCAATTTTATGAATCAACCCCCCCCACCCAGCCTCCGGTACCATGAACCAACCCTTGACTCAACCTCCGGTACCATGTACCAAACCCCCCACCCAGCCTCCGGTACCATGTACCAACCTCCCCATCCAGCCTCCAGTTTTTGTACCAACACCCCCACCCAGCCTCCAGTTTTATGTACCAGCCTCCCCACCCAGCCTCCAATTTTATGAATCAACCCCCCTTCAACAAGCCTCCAGTACCTTCACACGATACTTTAATTAATAGCTCATCTTATGAATTCTTCTGAGTTATTTAATTAACTGTCAATTAGTTTTATTTATCTCGCAATGCTTTGAATTAAGAAACAAATTAATATCAATGAATGAATGAGATCTGTAATGTTTTGAAATGTTTTAAATTAATTAGTTGAATTAGCATTAAGTTTAGACTAGTAGCTTTTGCAATATTGTAATACCTTTATGGTCATGCAAATAGAGCTTTTGCTGTTGTTGATGTACCAGCCCTCCCACTCAGCCTCCAGTTCTATGTACCAACCCTCCCACCCACTCTAGCTTCTGTAGTGTGTACGAAAGCCCCTACCTCATCCCTGGCATTTTGCACTCAAGCCTTACACAATTCCTATTTCCCAAGACCCTAGTAGTATGGGCATCCCCTAGCTGTAACTTTAACCCTAACCCAAATCGCTAAGGTAATATAAGAAGGGATGCCCATATCACTAGGGTTTTGGAATAGGGGTGCCCATATCACTGTAACACGGGCCCGTTCTCGTTTCCAGTTCTAAGTTTTGGCAACACCCTAAAAAGCTGCTATATTACGATAGTGAACTATAGTGCTGTGGGACGGTTTGCATACATCATTCATCATGTTGATGAATTCAAATACTGAACTTAATAATTCTCAACTTTGACAATGATACTTTAGAAATATTTTTTGCCATGTTTTATACACTGCTTCTAATTCCTTGTAAAGCAGGTTTATTGTTTCTTTTACTCTAGTATTTTTTGAAATAGTAGAAGTAAAAGTGCAAGCGAAAGAAAAGGGAAATTGTGTCCTTGCGATTTGGCGCTTGCTGATGCTTGCATCTTGACCGTGTTCGAGGTAAATAAAACCAAGGTGTTTATCCCTGGGCTTGTGTTTTTGCTTGTTTGCGTCGCTAGTGAGAAATAATTTTATAACAATCAGTTATGCCCAATTTGAAAACAGTTGTTTAGAAGTAAGTTGGACAAAATAAAACAAAATTTTGGTAGGTGATAGTATCAATGTCCCAGGGAAATGTTGCCTTCTTAAAACGTTGTCACTGTTAAAATATGAGTTCCATGGAAACGATGACCCAGAAAAATTTGAAGGGGGCAAGGTTTCCATTAACATTGGGAAAAGTCAGCACATGGTACTTGTCTGGGGGACTACTGTGTACTATTTTGTAGTACGGGTGATTTTACTTGAACTGTGAAATGGGTAGAAGAATTCTACGCACTATTATGCACTAATTCTGTTATCTTCTTTTGTTTACCTCTCGCTATATTGCACTATAATTTGTTAGTATCTGTTCCACGGTTCAAGTAAAACCATGATTCTAATGAGTGGAATAAATGTTTGTTTGTATACCTTATTTTAGGCCAGGTCTTATATTTGGGAATTTCCTCATAAATAAGACAGTAACTTACACTCTACGTACAGTTTGAAAATAAATCTGGCCACTATACTATTCACTAGAACAAAATTCAACAAAGGGAAAGAAGTTAGAGCTGAAACCTTTACGAAAAAAAAAGGAAACTTAAGGTAAAACAAACCGAATATGAAAACAAGCAAAATACAGAAAAAAATATGCTTACAAGATCTGTACATATGGAAGAAAAAGAAGACGTTAAATACTACAACTGAACTAGCAACAATAGACCTAATCGACTTACGAAAATTTAATAATGATTACGTAACGCGTTGCCAAGAATAGAGGTATAGAAAGATACACATGCTGAAATAGCCAACAAAAAAACTAAACCGAATCCGATAACAAAAGTGCTTAAGTTAAACAAACTACACACAGCATCAACTGTACGGGACACGCCCACAAATTAAAAACAGGGAATATTCAGATTCCACATTGGGTGCGGCCAGCATGGATATTTCCAAAGGGGTTAACCCATGGTTTTTAATTGTGGAACGTCGAAAACAAGCCGGATTTTGAAATTAAGTACAACCATCAAGGATATTTGAAAAGTGGTTAACCCACGGAATTTGTTTTACGGGTGTAACTTATGATCAGAGTGTGACTTTTGGTGACGTTAAGTGTTAAAAACGTCGAAAATATAATTTACCAAGATATCGATATTGGGTGGGCCATCTTGAGAATTCAACAAAGAGGTTAATTTATGACAGAAACATTTTCTTCTGCCTTCTGCCTATGGGGAAAACTTTTAATTTTTTTTTTGTGAGTGTGTATGACCAACTAAAATAGATTTTAAAATGACATCTGGTAGTTTGTATAGGGCAATAAAGACCTTATACAGATCTCCCGGTCATATTTCATCTTATGCCGAGTGGAATTTCGATATGTAACGAACCTATATATAACGAAGTCCTCGGTATAAACGAACAATATTGTCCGCCTCAGTAATAGTGAAATATGTGAAAAAGAACCTCGATACAACGAAGTCTCGTTAAAACGAGCATATTTTGCAAGTCCCTTGGCCTTTAGTTATATCGACGTTCTACTGTGCCTAAAATTGATGTGAATGTTATAAAGTGGAATCCGGAAAACAGCTGAACTCCTGTTAGCTCCTGTTGGACAACGGTATCAGCCTTCTTTGTGAGCGTAATTTGAGATCGTTAACAACTCCTGAACAAATTAAAGAATATTTGGGTATGATTTTAGCCCTGCTTAGGTGAAAATCCATAAATAACAATGACCAAGACCAGCTTTTATGAGTCCGTGAGATTGATCATGAACCCCCCAACCAAACCCTTGTTTTCACTAAAACCGCTGGACGCCAGCCTGTTTGAGGTCATTGTTATCTCAGTTATCTAAGGTCTTCCTAGCCTCCCCGCAGACGTCCTTTGGGGTTCGTTTGTCACGCATTCATTTCTCCCCCACGGAGAAATGAATGCGTGACAACGAACCCCAAAGGACGTCTGCGGGGAGGCTAAGGTCTTCCTGCTTAGGTAGCCAAATACGATCCGGAGGAATAACTAATTTATTCACAAAAAAGGCCACGTATTCGTGGCTTTAACAAATCTTATAAAAAAACTTATGCTATAAGGGGGTTAGTCTGTTCCTACATCAACATCATCGGACATTCATTGTCTTCTTTTGTTAGCAGACTTCATTACGTAAGGCCCGAGGGCACTGAATTCATTCCGATATAAATAATTACACTATGGGAGTTAAATTTGCATTGAGTCAATATAAGTGTCTTGGACTGTACGCTTGAAGCAAACTACAGAATTACGTCACTTGTTTATGACTTCGGTAAAGGCTATTCACAAGCAAGGATGAAGTTCTTGGCACTAGTATATAAACCATAGACGACCGATCAACATTTGGTTTACTTGGAAACGCAGTGAAGTGCTAAGTGGGCTTTGTATTACTTTTAGATAGGCCGCAATCACATCTCGTTTACACGCCGATCGAACATTTGAATTCGTACTAGAATCTTTCTTACGGCTCAAGGCATGCAGTTAACACCATGCATGTTGCTAGGTTCCAGCTCAGCTAGAATGCCTCAGCAAGAATCTCCCAGCGCTAGGGCCATGTAACCCGCTTTAGGATGATCTAAACTTAATTCTAGGATTTCCCTGAGGTTATGTAAACAGCCGGGTCTCTCAGTCTTGTTAAGACCGCCTGAACGTATAAGAGGATAGGGCACTGGAAACCACATTGACACTGCAAAATTCTTTGCTTTTTCATCCTTGAAGTCAAGTGAAATATCAATTTTGCAATATTCAGCTTGATTCGGCCACGTTATCTGAATAACAGAGCGAAAATGGCTAAAGTAACAGTCTTGAACAACTTCGTTTTTCTTCAAGGAAAAGTCTTGGTATCTCTGATAATCATTGGTTCGTTCTTACTTGATGTAAGTGTTACAAGTTTGTGCACAAACTGCACCGCGAGTCAAGCCTGTTGTTTTGATGTTTGTATTGAAGGAGCAAACTGCTTAGGACAGTATTGTCATTACGATGAGCATTGTTCTGGGGGCGAAATTTGTTGTAGTTCTAAGTGTGTGGACAGATATAATCCTATAGGATGCCCTTGTCAAAGCGATGGACAGTGTTCTAAGAGTCAACATTGTTCTAACTTCAAATGCGTGAATGCTTCAAACTGTTTAGGGAAAAAATGTGAGAATTCGATGGAATGCCGTCGCGGAGAAAGATGTTGTGACAGTGTATGCAGTAACTCGTCGAGTACTATGGGATGCTTTTGCTTGGATCATCGACAATGCTCATCTGGTGAGTCTTGTTGTGCCAATGCTTGCGTTCGGCGACCAAGTTGTGTGGGATTCAGTTGTAACATTGGCAATCCGAGATGCTCAAACGGCGAGAATTGCTGCAACAACAAATGTGTGAAGGGATCGCACTGTCTCGGGCAAAGCTGTGGGAAAAACTCCGATTGTGGTTCAAGTGAACAATGCTGTAACGGAAAATGCGTATCATACAAATGTGAGGGGTTTTCAGAGATTCCATGCGGAACGGATGAGGAGTGTGCTTTTTCAGCCAAAAAAAAATATTGTTGTGATGGTACATGCAGCAATGACAGCTACTGTTTCACCGCTCAGAAAAAGACAGTCACCATTTTTACAACAATTGCTCTTTGTATTTTTATAGTTGTTGTTATCGTAGCCTTTATTTTTCGATACCGGAAGAAGAGGATTCATCGAGCAGGACAAACACAGGTATTAACGGATAATGAAGCACAGGCTTACCAAAATTACCAAGCGCCACCGCCCTACCAGCCAGAGGAGTCTTACTACCCCCCACCTGAGTATGAAGAGCATCAATCTGGGACGTCTGCATCGTACTACCCTGCAACGATAAGAGAGGATGAACCGCCTCCCCCTTATAGTGCTGAACAACAAGGAGAATCCGGGGGGCAATTACATGCATCTGAAGCCACCTGATTTATATTTTTTCAGTTTGTCCAACAAGCAGTGTTAAAACAACTACGTCAATGATAAAAAACTAAATAAAAAACAATGTTAAAGAAAAAAAATCTGCGACGAAGGTGGTGATCACCTAAAATGACAAATATTTTTATACAGCCTTGCTTGTATACATTAACTTTTAAACCTAGACACCTTAAACAAATTCCGAGAAAAATGTATTCTCTTATTAAGGAGTCAAAAGGAGTGCTCGGACGATTACTTTCTATACATGAAGACTGTCCTCCCTTTTTCACGAAATAAATAAAGATAAAATTTAATTTAATCTACTTGTCCTTTTTCCATACTCTTCTCCTTTGTTATCGTGCTCTCACAGAGCCTTGTACAACCCCGTAGAGCTTCAAGCAATTCGTATAGTGTCATTGATAATACGTCAGAAAAAACTACTCGCCTTAACTTCTTATTTCCTCACCGACTTTCTAAATATTCGAATTAGTAGAGATCTTGAGATCTGATTCGCAGTTCTGGAAACTCTTGGAGGCGAGCTAGGAGCATGCGCATCGGCCGTAATAAGAGTGGGGCCGGGGGGAGGGCCTCACCCACCACCACTCCACCCACCCTTCACTGTCCTTCTTTGGGGGGTACCTCTGGCCCCTTGCCACAAGCATGATCATCCAGTCTTTGTTAGCCTATGTTAACACCTCTAAAAATACTTTCTGGGCCCTGACACTTATCAATTTGTTCTTACGGTGTTCCTCCTTCGAAGGGAGCTGAGCTAATCTATGCTTTTTTTACATTAGGATCTCTAGGATTCACTGATGTTATCACATGATAGCCACGGTTAGGTTCCTTTTTTGTTACTGTTACTGCAGTTCGGAACACAACACTTAGAGTGCGCCATCTCCGGGAACTATCACGGTATGTTGTACCTCCAAACGATCTCAGGAAGCTTAATGGTCTCGAATCGGCCCCAGATTCCTACTTGTTTGAACATGTTCATTACAACGAGGTTCTACTGTACCTAAAATAGATGTGAATGTTATTAAGTGGAATGCGGAAAACAGTCGGACCGTTGAACAATTTTGGCTCTGCTTAGGTAGCCAAATAGGACCCGAAGGAGGACTAGACTAATTTATAATATTCACAAAAAAGGCCACATATTCGTGGCTTTAACAAATATTAAAGAATAACTTATGCTATCAATGCAAGGTGGTTAGTCTGTGCCTATATCAAAGTCATGGCAGGATTCATCGTCTGCTTTTGTTAGCCGGCTTCATTACGTATGACCTACGAGCACTGAATTCATTCCGAAATGAATAATTAAAAGTGTACATGATGGGAATTAAATTTAATTAATTTAGTCAATATAAAATGTCTTGGACCGTACGTTTGAGGCAAACTACAGAATAACGCCTCCTGTGTATGACTTTGGTAAAGGCTAGTCATTTCTTAGCACTACTATATAAACCATACCATAGACGACCGATCAACATTTGGTCTCCATGGGAACGCAGTGAACTGAGGTTTGCAGACACTTTAAACCTTCTGTACAAATGGTTTTGACGACGCGTGGACCGGCTGCAATGCAACGCTGGCTAGGTTTTTGCATTGTCTTTAAATAGGCCTCTAAGTCTAGTTCGAAACTCAACCGCATCTCGTTTACCCGCCGATCTAGCGTTTGAATTTGTACTAGGGGAATCTTCCTCAGGCAGTTAACACGTTGTTAGGGTCCAGCTAGAATAATCAGCAAGAACCTCCCAGCGCTAAGGCCATGTAAAACTGGCTTAAGGGTGATTAAACTTAACTCTAGGATCTCTATGGGATAAGTCATGTAAACAGCTGGGCCTCTCTTGCTGATCCGATTAAGACCACGTGAACGCATAAGAAGACGGCCGGGGCACTGGAAACCAAATTGACACTGTTTTTACTTTTTCCGCATCCTTGAAGTGAAATACCAATTTTGCAATATTCAGCTTGATTAGGCAACGTTGTCTGAATATCAGACAAAAATGGCTAAGGTAACAGTCTTGAGCAGTTTTCCTTTTCCTCAAGGAAAAGTCTTGTTATCACTGACAATCATTGCTTCGTCCTTATTTGTTGTAAGTGAAACAAATTTATGCACAAACTGCACCGCGAGTCAAGCCTGTTGTTTCGATGTTTGCGTTGAAGGACCAAACTGCTTAGGACAGTTTTGCCATTACGACGAGCATTGTTCTGAGGGTGAAATTTGTTGTAGTTCTAAATGTGTGGACAGATCTAGTACTGTAGGATGCCCTTGTCAAAACGATGGACAGTGTTCTACGAGTCAACATTGTTGTAACTTTACATGCGTGAATGCGTCAAACTGTTTAGGGAAAAAATGTGAGAATACGACGGAATGCCCTCACGGACAGAGATGTTGTGCCAATACTTGCGTTCGGGGACCGAGTTGTGTGGGACTCAGTTGTAACATTGGCTATCCGAAATGCTCAAACGGCGAGAGTTGCTGCCACAACAAGTGCTTGAAGGCACAGAGTTGTTGGGGCCAAAGCTGTAAGAAAAACTCCGATTGTGGCTCAGGTGAAAAATGCTGTATTAAAACGGGCAAATGCGTAGGACCTCATGAATGTGAAGACGTATCAGAGATTTACTGCCGGAAAGATAGCCATTGTCCTTATTCAGCCACCAAAAAATATTATTGTTGCGATCATAGATGTAGCGAGGAAAGCTTTTGTGAGAAAAAGTTAGTCACCATTTTTACACCAGTTGCTGTTTGTGTTTTTATAGCCGTTATTATCGTATCCAATATTTTTCGACACCGGAGGCAAAGGATTCATCGAGCACGACAAACACGGGTATTAACGAATAATGAAGCACAAGCACAGGTTTACCAAAATTACCAAGCACCACCGCCGTACCAACCAGAGGATTCTTGCTACCCCCCACCAGAATATGAACAGCATCAATCGGAGATGTCTGCATCGTACAATCCCGCCATGATAAGGGAGGATGAACTGCCTCCCCCTTATAGTGCTGAACAACAAGGAGAATCCGGGGGGCAAGTGCGTGCATCTGAAGCCTCCTGATTACCATAATCATTATATTTTTTTAGCTATCCCAAACAAACAGTGTTGAAACAACTACGTCAATGATAATAACAAGGAAGAAAAAAAAAGTATTAAAAGAAAAAATAACCCACAAAGACGATATAGGTCAATGTATACCGATAGTGATCACCTATTAAAAAGTGACAAATATATTTTTTTATACAGTCGTGCTCGTTTACATTCACTTTTAAACCTTGAATTGATAGACCTTAAACAAATTCAGAAAAATGTATCCTTTTATTAATAAAATGAGTGCTCAGCCTTAAATACGACTACTTTCTACTTGAGGACTGTCGTCCTCTTTTCTTGGAATAAACAAATACAAAAATAAAATTTTTAATAATCTACTAATCTTTTTTCCATACTGTTGCTCGTTTGTCCTTCTCATGCTGTCATAGAGCCTTGCACAGCCTCAAAGAGTTTCAAGCAATTCGTATTGTCATTGGTAAAACGCCGAAAGAACTACTCGCTTGCTTATTTCCTCACCGACTTTCTAAATATTCGAATTAGTAGAGATCTTGAGATCTGATTCACTCTTCTGGAAACTCCAATCTCGACCCCAGTGCTTACGCAATCTGACTCCGCTGGCGGTCATGCGCAGAAGAGCTCTGGAGTCGAGATTGCTGGAAACTCTTGGCGGAGAGCTAGGAGCATGCGCATAGCCCTAATAAAAGTGGAGCCGGGGGGAGGGCCTTACTCACCACCACTCGACCCACCCATCACTGTCCTTCTTTGCGGTGTACCCCTAGCCCCTTGCTACAAGCATAATAATCTGGCGTTTGTTAGCTTATGTTACCGCCTCTAAAAATACCTTCTGGGCCCTGACACTTATCAATTTATTCTTATGGTGTTCCTCCTTCGAAGTGAGCTGAGCTAATCTATGCTTTTTTACATTAGGATCTCTAGGATTTACCGATGTTATCACATGATAGTGACGGTTAGGTTCCTTTTTTGTTACTATTACTGCAGTTCGGAACAGAAAACTTAGAGTGCGCCATCTCCGGGAACTATCACGGTATGTTGTACCTCCAAACGATCCCAGGAAGTTTAGTGGTCGCGAATCGGAGCCACATTCCTACTTGTTTGAACATATTTATTACATCGAGGTTCTACTGTATTTAAAATAGATGTGAATGTTATTAAGTGGAATGCGGAAAACAGCCGGACCGTTGAACAATTTTGGCTCTGCTCACTATAGCCAAATACGACCCGAAGGAGGACTAGACTAATTTATAATATTCACAAAAAAGGCCACATATTGGTGGCTTTAACAAATCTTAAAGAATAACTTATGCTATCAATGCAAGGTGGTTAGTCTGTGCCTATATCAAAGTCATATATGGCAGGATTCATCGTCTGCTTTTGTTAGCCAGCTTCATTACGTATGACCTACGGGCACTGAATTCATTCCGTAATGAATAATTAAAAGTGTACATGATGGGAATTAAATTTAATTAATTTAGTCAATATAAAATGTCTTGGACCGTACGTTTGAGGCAAACTACAGAATAACGCCTCCTGTGTATGACTTTGGTAAAGGCTAGTCATTTCTTAGCACTACTATATAAACCATAGACGACCAATCAACATTTGGTCTCCATGGGAACGCAGTGAACTGGGTTTTGCAGACACTCTAAACCTTCAGTACAAATGGTTTTGACGACGCGTGGACCGGCTGCAATGCAACGCAGGCTAGGTTTTGCTTTTTCTTTAAATAGGCCTCAAAGTTTAGTTCGCAACTCAACCGCATCTCGTTTATTTGCCGATCTAACGTTGCAATTTGTACTAGGAGAATCTTCCCCAGGAAGTAAACACGTCGCTAGGGTCCAACTAGAATGATCAGCAAGAACTTCCCAGCGCTAAGGCCATGTAAAACCGGCTTTAGGGTGATCTAACTTAATTCTAGGATCTCTCTGGGATAAGTCATGTAAACAGCTGGGCCTCTCAAGCTGATCCGCTCAAGACCACGTGAACGCATAAGAAGACTGCCGGGGCACTGGAAACCAAATTGACACTGTTTTTACTTTTTCCGCATCCTTGAAGTGAAATATCAATTTTGCAATATTCAGCTTGATTCGGCAATGTTGTCTGAATATCAGAGCAAAAATGGCTAAGGTAACAGTCTTGAGCAGTTTTCCTTTTCCTCAAGGAAAAGTCTTGTTATCACTGACAATCATTGCTTCGTCCTTATTTGTTGTAAGTGAAACAAATTTATGCACAAACTGCACCGCGAGTCAAGCCTGTTGTTTTGATGTTTGCGTTGAAGGACCAAACTGCTTAGGACAGTTTTGCCATTACGACGAGCATTGTTCTGAGGGTGAAATTTGTTGTAGTTCTAAATGTGTGGACAGATCTAGTACTGTAGGATGCCCTTGTCAAAACGATGGGCAGTGTTCTACGAGTCAACATTGTTGTAACTTTACATGCGTGAATGCGTCAAACTGTTTAGGGAAAAAATGTGAGAATACGACGGAATGCCCTCAAGGACAGATATGTTGTGCCAATACTTGCGTTCGGGGACCAAGTTGTGTGGGACTCAGTTGTAACATTGGCTATCCGAAATGCTCAAACGGCGAGAGTTGCTGCAACAACAAGTGCGTGAAGGGATGGAGTTGTTCGGGGCAAAGCTGTAAGAAAAACTCCGATTGTGGCTCAGGTGAAAAATGCTGTATGAAAACGGGCAAATGCGTATTTTACGATGAATGTGAGGACCTGACAAAGATTTCCTGCCGGAAGGATTCCCATTGTCCTTATTCAGAAACCAAAAAATATTATTGTTGTGGTCATAGATGCAGCGATGACAGCTTTTGTGGGAATAAGTTATTCGCCATTTTTACACCAGTTGCTGTTTGTATTTTTATAGTTGTTATCGTATTCTTTATTTTTCGACACCGGAGGCAAAGGATTCATCGAGCACGACAAACACAGGTATTAACGAATAATGAAGTACAAGCACAGGTTTACCAAAATTACCAAGCACCACCGCCGTACCAACCAGAGGATTCTTACTACCCCCCACCTGAATATGAACAGCATCAATCGGAGATGTCTGCATCATACAATCCCGCAATGAAAAGAGAGGATGATCCGCCTCCCCCTTATAGTGCTGAACAACAAGGAGAATCTGGGGGGCAAGTACGTGCTTCTGAAGCCTTCTGATTACCATAATCATTATTTTTGTTAGCTTCCCAAACAAACAGTGTTAAAACAACTACGTCAGTGACAAAAAAATAATAAGAAGAAGAAGAAAAAATTAAAGAAAAAAAATAACTCACAAGGGCAATATAGGTCAATGTATACTGATATTGATCACCTATTAAAAAGTGACAAATACATTTTTTTATACAGTCGTGCTTGTTTACATTCACTTTTAAACCTTGAATTGACAGACCTTAAACAAATTCAGAAAAATGTATTCTTTTATTAATAAAATGAGTGCTTAGCCTTAAATAAGACTACTTTTTAAGTGAAGACTGTCGTCCTCTTTTCTTAAAAATAAACAAAGACAAAAATAAAATTTAATTAATCTACTAATCTTTTTTCTTTACTGTTGCTCCTTTGTCTTTCTCGTGCTCTCAGCGAGCCTTGCACAGCCTCAAAGAGTCTCCAGTAGTTCGTATTGTCATTGATAAAACGCCGAAAGAACTACTCCCTTGCTTATTTCCTCACCGATTTTCTAAATATTCGAATTAGTAGAGATCTTGAGATCTGATTCACTCTTCTGGAAACTCCAATCTCGACCCCAGTGCTTACGCAATCTGACACGGCTGGTGGTCATGTGCAGAAGAGATCTGGGGTCGAGATTGTTAGAAACTCTTGGCGGAGAGCTAGGAGCATGCGCATCGGTCGTAATAAAAGTTGGGCCGGAGGAAGGGCCTTACCCACCAACACTAGCTCCACCCACCCATCACTGTCCTTCTTTGGGGGGTACCCCTGGCCCCTTGCTATAAACATGATCATCCGGCGTTTGTTAGCCTATGTTAACACCTCTATAAATACCTTCTGGGCCCTGACACTTATCAATTTGTTCTTACGGTGTTCCTCCTTCGAAGTGAGCTGAGCTAATCTATGCTTTTTTTACATTAGGATCACTAGGATTTACTGATGCCATCACATGATAGTGACGGTTAGGTTCCTTTTTTGTTTTTTTTGTTTTTTTTGTTTTTGTTTTTGTTTTTTGTTTTTTTTTTATCTTTAATAACATTTATTCAATCGACAATCAACAATCAAAAATACTTACAAACACTACGATACTTACACTACTTACAATACAATATTTAGAATGCAATAGACTAAGGTACTTACTCTGTTTACAATGTAAAGACTTACAATACTCAGTACTTACAACACTACCTACTCACTACTCGCACTACAATGCACTATTTACAAGCAGTTCTAATTAGTAATTGTACTTCAAAACCAACATTTACAAGACCAAACATTCACGGTAAACGCACTTATATCTTAAGTGTCTTAAAGAGGCAGCGATTGTGAAGCAAAAGATACACCAGGTTAATGCTGGAGAAAATGAGCAGAGGATCGAGATATACAAATGTATACAAAATCAAAGGCTTACTGAAATAAGGAGCTCACATTTTCCCATTTTTTTGGTAAAATGGGACCTGCAGTGGTCTCTATGTGGTAGAATGATTTGAGGTATTGCAGGAAGCCTGCTATCTTTGGCGAGGTTTCCCTTCTTTTGCTAATCCAGATGTAATTTCTGGCTAGAAGGAAAAGGAAATTAATTTGCTGGCAGTTTTTTGAAGAATCCGGCTTTAGACCAAGTGCAACAAATAGATCTAATGTGTAATGTTCCGGTGTAATGTGGAGCAAAGTCAGCTTAAGAGATAAACTATGCCTATCCTTTTTTGTTACTGTTACTGCAGTTCGGAACACAAAACTTAGAGTGCGCCATCTCCGGGAACTATCACGGTATGTTGTACCTCCAAACGATCCCAGGAAGCTTAGTGGTCGCGAAT